AAAAAAAAAAACTACTACGAAACCGTATTTTAAATCAAAAGAACGCCCAAAGGTTACTGATCTTGCGAAAACCACATTAAGCAACCAAAATAATGACATCCCTAATTAATCCACATCTTAGTTTAAATTGTTGACAAAATCGTGTTTTTATTTAACTTATTTAATAAAAATCCGATCTTTTTTTACTGTTCTACATACAAATAAGTAACTAAGAATAGATAAATAAATACATGCTTTTAAACCCTTTATTCTGTCAAACTCTACTATTAAATTTTAGTCACTGTTTTCTTTTTAATCGCTTTCATAACAGCATATCGATTTAACGTAATAACATTCTATGTGTATACTGTGAAAACAAAAAATTATGAATAACCATTAATAATAAAGCAATACGTAAAACCAACATAGAATTAGAAAAATAACTTAACTAAATATGACTATAAAACCAACCGACTTAAATTACTCAGATCAAATCGCCCCATACCTTAACTGATGCTTTGCTAACGTTATGATTTAGATAGAATAACTCTAATTAAAATGGCTTTGGTTATATTATTAGTGTTAGTGTAATTTTAATACATGTTAGTATAAAGTTATCACTGTTATTACCTGGCACTTATTTCACTGATTTGCATATTTTCAGTGTCCCTATTTTACATTACTGATTATTGCCTTCAACATGTATATATTAATTTAGTTAATATTTTGCTGTTTACCTTCTTATTACTCGGTTCATCTTATCATCCTACACTCCATATACTCAGGTTAGCTATTAGTTATTGCTTTTCTTTAATCATCTTGCTGTACATAATCACTTTATGTATACGTATTCACATTTTAGATATTGTTCATTACTTAACTTACGTACTTACCAAATTTACCATGTTGAGCCCGACAGTGTTTATCACGCTATTCCAAGCCTCTGAGCCACTTAACAAATAACTGGCGGCAGCAGGTAGAGACGATAGAGCCAGCCTTGCTAAGACAAACGATAACGAACAAAAAATTACCTGAAATACCCTGTAGCGAACCATTTTTAAATAACCCTGATCAACTTAATCATTCCCGCTTGATACAAAATGCATAACATACTCCTTAATTAACACCATACTCCTTAACCACTTTCATTATTTCCCAT